TCTATCAACTGTAATCAATTTGTGAAATATACTGTAACCTGATACTGTACTCTTTAGACTCTGGTCGGATGCAAACTGCATTTCGTTGTACTTGTTGAATGAAAATAAGTTGAATCTAATGTAATCCAAGTGGTGTCAACTAGCAGTTTCATCACAGTGATTTCAACCTTTCAGATTGTTTATTTACAATATGTGCTCGAGGTAAAAACTTCAACTAAATCATCTTTACCTAAAAAAAACCTGAAAAATCCAAAGATTCATTAAACTGTGTGTAACAAAACATTGACCCAGCTTGAGATTTATAATTTGACCACAACACTGCATCATTGCATACGGTTTTTTATTAAATCATAACAAACTAACCCACACACAGCAATCCTGAGCCCCTGCCCCAGTTTTCCAACAAAAATACTCGTTTTTTTACTGGATCAACAGGGAAATAAGGTGGAGTTGTATTCTGCTGTGTTCAGAGGGGACGACATCACAAAACAGACACAACTCACATAGGGGAAATGGGGGGGTCATTAGGAGCAAATGATTGCCCCGGGTCCCCCTAACAGTTTAATCCCTCCATGGTTCCTGAGGTCATATGTGTCTAAAGCTGTTGTAAGCAATAGCTGTAATCATGCAAACATGGCATAAGGGTCCACTTTCATACCCTGATTGAGGCTCTGTGGCACAGACAGATACCCCCCCTCACTCACTCACTCTCTCTCACACACACAGACACACAGACACACACACACACTGAGGTCTCATTGTCCCCGTCATTAAACACCTACAGTACAGCCGGCACCTCCGGCCTCCACACTTACGCAGTTACCAGGACGACAAGAATACTGAGCATTCTTTTCTCTCGTTGCCGGGGTGACACTAATTATGGGGTGTGGGAGGGCTCACGGGACGGCAGGATTCCGGAACGTCCACAGCGACGCAGGAGAGAGGCGTTCAGGGACGCCCTGTGACGAACAAGGGCTTAGTTGTACACACACACACACACACACACACACACACACACAACTCCTTAAGTGTTTGTGTGTTTACGAGCAAGTTGCATAGATTCCCCAAGGACACGTGTGTATTCCTGCCCTGCTATGATAATTACTGCGAGGAAATCACACTCCAAAATGTGTGTTTACGTGTGTGTAAATATGAATGTTTGTGCGTGGGTTTGTTTGGTTTGTTTGGTTAATGTTGTAAGAGGACTCTATGTTGGTCATTGTTTAGTTAATTTGTTTATTTATTCTTTTAAACACTTTCTTCCTGTTATTGTCAACTGTCAGTTTTTTTTACAATTAGACAGACATTTAGCAACTAACAGTCAAGAATGTACCTCAAAGTGCAATATCACAAAGCTCCTAAAAAGTGGTGCAGTGATGATATATTTTTGTAGGCCAATGAGGATTTTAGCATCGCGAGGGCTCCCTCGATCTATAGCAATAGGCGCTTTCACACCGGAGTACTTTTCCCAGGAATAGTTCCGATGGTTCTTGGGATTTTACTTTCACACCAAAAAGATCTGGAACTAGAACCTAGTTTGCGCAAACCTTTTCACCCCCAGATAGTTCCTGCTAAGGAGCAGGGACATTCCTGGGGAGAAAAAGGTTTGTGGGTGTGTCGGCCACACTAACAATTTCTAATTGGCTGGGCGAATTCCAAACCACGCCCCGTCAAACTCTGAAAAGTTTTGTGAAGCAGCCATTTTATTTGCTCGCATTAGCATTATTAGCATCAGCATTAGCCCAGCGCACCAACGGAGAGAGACTAACTTATGGCAACACAAAATAAAACAACAAAGTACTTGGTTTGAATGCGGCTAATGTGATTTTTCCATTGGATTTCAGTATATTGTAGAAACAAACACATGTTTTGTTCAGCAGGATAATATCCACATATTAACACCATCCTATGATTTTTGTAAGTAAAAAGCTGACATTAGGCTATAAATGAACTCCAGCACATGACCTCCTGTCACAACCGCTAAGCTAAAGGTGGCTAATGTTAGCTTGATGACGTTTCGTATTCTCATTAGACACTTGTTAGCAACCGCTGTTTTTATATCCACGTATTTTAAGTCGTAGAACAAAACATTAAAATCTCTTCAGCTTGTTTTAACCACAGACCTTACTTCGGACTAACAACAACCAAAAACACGTTCAAACATTGTCACCGAGACAAGGGAACTCAAAGTGTTCAAAGTGTTAAGACGCTAAGTCATTTCAGGGATGTAGGACTCATTGCTGCACCACTCTATAACCTAGATTTGTTAAACACAGCAATACTGTGGAAGATATAAACCAACATCTATTGGCATTGGTAGTACACAGATGAGTTGTTACTGTCCTGATGATATTTAGTATTATTGGATGAGTATTTTCGCTTTTTCCTCAAAAAACACTGACACACACACCAGGAAGGACACCAGGTCAAGGGCTACAAAGCAAGGGCACGAGCAAAGGAAAAAGCCCCAGAAAAAAGAGCAGAAGGGGGGAGAAGAGAGAGAGATGACTGAATCAAAGGTGAAGGAACATCAAGCTGAGGAGGAGAGGCTGTGGGGGAATTCCTTTCCAGCTACAGGGTCAGAGAGGTGGAATAATAAAAGAAGGCCAAAGAGATTAAAATAATATTGACAAAGAGGCAGATTTATGGAGAGAGAAGGGGGTTTGCGACGGAAGGAGTGTGTGGTCAGAGCATACACACTGATGTGCAGAGTATGAGCAGGCAGAGTGTGTTAATGCCTCTCAACGGTATAGGAAGAGGTTATCTCTTCAAACACACAGCAGAAATGCAGGTCACGGTGAGAGGAAGTATAAAAGGAAAGATCATCGGTCAGAGGTTCATGTGCTGGGAGAACGTGAGGAGCAGTCAGAAGTTCAGCATGTGTCTGAAACAGACGCTGGCAACATCAATGATTAGGTCTATTCTATTTTAAGGGCCCCATTATGCTAATGTTCAGGTTCATATTTACATTTTGTGCCTCAACTGTGACATGTTACATGCTTTTATGTTCAAAAAGCTCTTTATTTTTCTCATACTGCCTGTGCTGCGGCACCTCTTTCCACCCTCCGTATGGGAGAGTAACTCCTGGTGGGAACACAAGGATTTGAGCCTTTGCAGACCATTCACCACCTTTTCTGTCAGATCATTGGATTTATTGGCTGATGTAATGTATTTGACCAAATACCAAAAGAAATTGTAAAATATATAGTTACATCCGACCCTAGCTTTAATTATTTTTTGCGTTTTTCCTAAGGCAAGAATGGACGAAAAGTACTTTCAATAAGGTTAGTAAGTCAACCTCTGCATTCTTATTTTGCCATATGCTGTTACGAAGGTCAAGAATAAACTCTCCAGCTCAGTTTGTTCTTCTTATTGTGTAATATGAACAAGTGCTAGTAAAATAACTCGATTTATATTCAAGTAATGAGAAAAATGTACTTTTGGTGCAGTAAATGAAATTGAAAACTAACCTCCCTTATACTAGGACATTCAAACATTCACCTTCATCCAATGTCTTCCTTTATATAGACGCACACACAGAACACACACACAGAACACACACTACATTGTGATGCCCACATAATCGATGTCCTTCAGTGACGTGACTTGAATGTAAAAAGTGAGCGATGTGATGCTGTGAGGACAGAAATAATCACTCACTGGAGACACACACATGGCAACGTCTCGTGCAATGAATAAACACACACAAGGCCACACACAATCACACAGTGAAACACAGGAAGGCAACAAAATGTCAGCTGCAAAGCACACTTAAATGCCACCTGTGTTGTTGTTTTTTTCTCCAGAAATGGGTGGCTGGGGGTTTTTAATTGAGAGATTTATTAGGAATGCAACTGATAAAAAAAGCACATTTATCAGCAAATAACTGAAAGTGAGGAAAAAATTGACATGTTTCCAAATGTTCCAAGTAGAACATTGGATTTTAATGGCGCCGCATGTTGATTGTTTGATATTCCTCTCCAGGTTTTTAAGCAGATAAACCATATGTGTGTGTTTTGGCAAAACAGGAAACGTTGGCAGGATAAAATCATTATCGCCCCACCTTTCTGCGCTCATTGTCCCACAGATGGGTTGGAAGCAGGGGGACACGAGGAAGTCAAAGTAAAAGCTTTCCATGTGTGCCAGGGAGCGGGGAAATGAGTTCCATGCTGAACACACACACTTCACGCATTTCTCCCATCATGCCAATTCATCCCAAATGTAGAGGGAGAGGAAGAGAGGAATGGAAAGACCTTGCACGGAGTGAATGATGTCAATAACACACAATGCCTGAGGGGGGGGTGTGTGTGTGTGTGTGTGTGTGTGTGTGTGTGTGTGTGTGTGTGTGTGTGTGTGTGTCTGGGGGTGCTTGCCTTACAGTTTCTTTTGTGTTTGCCTGTCTTTTGTTTGTGTCCACGGGTGGCAGCAGGGGACGTACTGTCATGCTCCTTCTGCCCTGCCCTTGTGACATAGCTGTGTGTGTGTGTACATGTGTGTCTGTTGGATCCTGTGCGTGCCACTGAGACTGCGTGAGTGGAGGTTGTGAGAAAACAAGTGCATGTCTGTCAGAGAGTGTGTGTCCGGGGAGTTTACCAGCAGTGGGTTAAAGTGTGTGTGTGTGTGTGTGTGTGTGTGTGTGTGTGTGTGTGTGTGTGTGTGTGTGTGTGTGTGTGTGTGTGTGTGTGTGACTTTCAGAGTAGGCATTCAGAGGGATATCTACGGTTGGTGAAGATGTTTTTCATTTGCATGTGTTCTGGCACATTTGTGTTTTTATATTTGCATCGTTTCTGAAGCTGCAGCGTGTTTCTGCTATTTGAAGTGTTTTGGGCCGTTGTAGCGCGTTGTCACCTGTCAGCAACTGTAGATATTTGCCTAAATCACATGCTTTATTCAATTCTAACGGAAGAATAAAAACACAGTTAAAATACAGCAACAATTCGAAAATACTTACAATTGTGTTTTATTTGAAAAGCTATTTAAATCACAAACAGTCCTTTATTTATTCCCCTGTCTTCCTCTCCCTCTCTAAACTGACCTTATGTTTTAATGTCCTATATTCTGTCTTCACTGTGCTGCTGGCTTCAGTCTGGGCAGCGTCCCCTCCCGTCTTTTTTCCCCACCACTTTTCCAACACGCAAAGCTCCTCTCCGCCCCTCCTCTATCCGTGCCCCGGCCTGTCTCTTTGTCTGTGACGGCAGGGGGGGGTCGCAGTGTGTTTGGGGAGTTCAAAGAGCGATTAGGAACCACCCGGGTCTGACTCTGCCTGCACCCCGGGGGAGTTTGTCTCCCTGTGGGGTGAGATCTGGGGGAGTGCTGATGAGACGCTGGGGATCGCAGCCCCAGGAGCTCCTCCTGAGCTTCAGACAGAGCAGCCGTCAGCCCCCCCCTCTCCTCACACTCCCTGCTCACCGTCTCCTGGAGTAACGCCACCTGGAGGGTCATAAGAGAGTAGTATTTCAGCAAGTCATCTATTCTAGTGTATTAAACCTTACTAAAACAATAATACAATTCCTTTAATGAAAGCAGGCAACTTCTGCTATTGTCAGTCTAAAGAAATAGGTAATTGGTTTGGGAAATAAGCAAAGAGAGGTGGAGGGATGATGTATTTTTGAAGTTAGTATTATAAAAGGCTCCTTCGACAAAAAGTAATGGCATTTTTCCATTGGAATTTTTGAAGCGTAAATGCAATCGGCAAATGAAAAAAGCTAATGATAGGAACTACATCACGGTCACATGACTTCACGTCACCACCGCTAATCTAAAGGCGGCTAATGTTTGGCGTGAGGACGTTTAGTCGTCTCATTTAGAAACCTCCGTTTTTATGACACAGAGAAGTTTCAGACATTCACCTGTGGGGTATTTACTAAAGTATTCAATGTCGTAGAACATGTGCTTTCCTTTCTAAAATAGCTGGAGCTGAGAGGTAAACATGTGATGCATTATATTGTTTCAATCTCCAGGTGTACTGACAATTAAAGCTTTGCTCACTGAATGAAATCGAGTTTAAACCAACTGCAGCTCTTCTTATGTGACAGTCAGACAGAGAAAAGGAAAGCGTCTCACTTCAAGTATTGAGATAAAGTGGCCCTTCGTGTCTCTCTCATCACTTTACATGCACGTCCTACCAAGATGGCGCACGGCCATCAACACTGCTCACTGGCTCAGTTCATTATAAACACGTGCCATTTGAATACTTTAAAATCATTTGGACCATCTGCTGTTTGATAACAGACTTGTGCTGTATGCAACCCAAACTGGTCGAGTGAGACTTTAAAATACTAGAATTGAACAGGAGGGGTCGTTCCGGCTAGCAGGTACTTTTTCACAGTTTTTCTGGCTCTCCAAAATCGTGGTTCTTTCTGGGCCAACAACCGGGCTGAGTATGCTAAACTAGAGAGAGAATCGCTGGCAAGGGGGCTACGACTACAACAAAATGAACATATTTGACCGTGATTTAATTGTAATACACGTTTCTAAATGA